TGGCAGCCATTGTTGCCAAGTTTGGGTTTGATTTGCAGGCAGTGGATTGTTGATTTTTTTCTTCTTGTTGTGGATTGTTGATTACATGGTCCGATTTTGTGAATTGGGGCGTTGATTGTGGGATTGTGATTGGGTGTAAGATTTGGTATGTTTGATTGATTACAGAGGTGGTGGTTTGTGGGTGTTTATGCATTTTTAAGGTGGTGTGTTGGTGGTTGAAGGGGGTGGGTGAGAGAGACCGCAGACACAGACGAGAGAGATGAAAGAGGGGCATTTATGTCATTTAAAATTAAAGATATTTTGTAGTATTAAAATTTTGAGGGCAAAAATGTCCATTCGCATGTGTTTGAGGCCAAAAATCAAATTGGGGTCTAAGTGGTCGCTAAAAACCAAATCTTCATCTAGGTGAAATATGCGCCAACCTCAGAGGCTTTAGGTGAAATTAACAATTTTCCTTTTGTTATTATTCTCTACACCATTTTTTTTTTCAATTAAATATATTTTTTATTTTTAATATATTATGGTTATATTGGGTAAGAATCAAAGTTGCAGATAATGACTACAGGAACCCTTTGCTACGTGGATTCTTTTACCTTTTTGAATCGGAGATAATGACTACTGGAAGCAGCAGAATCCGAAATGACCCAAAAAAACACAAGTCTCTTGGTGGTAGGCAGTTTATTCTAACCCTAGAATGTATGCTTTCTATGTTACCTCAAGTTTTGGATATTTCACTTATTTTGATCTATGTCGTTTGATCCAATCATATCTTCTCATATTTAACTCACAAATTGATCACTGAAGACTGGTTCATTTATTGAATTTCTTGCTAATCTGTACCAACCCTATTTCTGCTGTTTCATATTGTCCTCCTTCAATGTCTAGATGTTAAGAATATCATTATTATGAAATATGAACTTCCTTGGAACTATTTTTGATGGGTAGTTTGATGTCTCTGGGTATTGTAGTCATTCAATTGCAATTATAAATTTGTTTGGAAAAATTTAGCGTCAGTATAAGCCAGTTTTTGAGCAGTTTATTGATTTTAAAGCATGAAAGAAAAATGTTAATCGATTAATGCAAGTGTTTATGACCCATTGAACTGTGGTTATTGGGGAAAGCAGATTCTAGATGTAAGCGTCCTCCAAACTAGGGTGTAGCAGAGGCCAAAAGGGTCATACACAATCTTGCTGTTTAATTAGGTCCTAAGACAACTGCTAATTAATTCTTGTTCAATTGTGGTTGGTATATGTTGAAAAAGATAAGCCTTTCAGTCGAATAGATCAATGAAAGAGTGGTATATGTGTCTCATAGAAGTTGCAAAACTCGCATAGTAAACTGCCATAATATGCTTTTCATACTCTATTTATACAATCTCATACCTTTTTGCTCACAATTGGTGCTTTAAACTCCTTTCGTTTCGTTTTGTCGATTAGTAACAATTGAAAAGTGCTTGCTTTCCACACCTCTTATATGTCAGGGATTTCAAATTCTTCATCAGTGAACTGAAATTCAATATTCTTGGGAATTCGGGTACATTTCCAGTAGGAATGTGTTTGCAATATTCATTATTGTGGGTTCATATCCTAGTAATAACAATCATTTGTGATTCCTATATATATGAAGAGACAGGAAATCAACATGACATGAAGGTTGCTCATTTAATTAGGGCAAACTAGTGTATCTTGGAAGTTGTTCCACAAACATAACTAGCTATTTATGATTCCTAAACACTTCTAACATAATGCATATACTAAGAGAAATTTATTTTTTGTCTTTTGTGTTTCATATCCTAGTAATAACAATCATTTGTGTACATTTTCTCAGTTTTAATTTTTTTCATGGTTAATAGATACTAGTTACTAAGACATGATGAGTAAGTTGATGGCAGACAAGAGCACAAGGTTAATAAGGTTGGTAGAAGAAAGAGCATTGTCAAAAAAGGGAAAAAAAAGCAAAAGGAGAATCTTGCATCCTATCTTCCAAAAGAATGCATCTACGATATTCTTTTGCAACTTCCTCCTGAAACGATTCATAGATTGAGTTACGTTTGTAAGCCATGGTATAAGATGGTTAACAGCTCTATTTTCATTGATGACCACCTGAATCGCTCTGAAACAGTTTTAATCTTTCCTTTTTTCTGTAATCAAACAGAAATCTTAACCCTTATTCTAAAACTATAGTCCCTCAAGAAACATCGAACGCTTTCTCTGTTGAAGATGGCCTTTTTCGATCACAATTCCTACCTTTATTTCTGCAACAAAATATAAAGCCGAGATCAGATTTCTTCTATATACAATCCATGGAAATAAAAGATGGCAAGAGCAAGATACGAGAGTTTAATGTGACTTGTTTGGAAGAAATTAGAGCTACTTGCAATGGTTTAATTCTGCTTGATAACAAAATGAAAAGAGGATTGATTTTCCTGAATCCTGTGACTAGGAAGCTGATTGCACTTCCTTTAGGTACTATGATATATCCTCCCCACAAGGAATCATACGGGTTAGTATTATGCAAATCTACACGTCAATATAAATTGATCCACTTATTTGAGGATGAAATGCGATACATTGGTTGTGAAATTTTAATTCTTGGGGCAAGATCATGGAGGATGGTGGATGGACCTCCTTTTGGACTTCTTAGATGGTTGGGGTGCAACCCAGTTTCTGCAATAGGAGCTTGGCATTGGATTCCTCACATTGATGGCAGTAATTACCTAGTATCTATGATAACGGACGATGAAAAATTCCACCAGACATCTCTCCCGAAAAGTAGTGGAACTCACGATGGGATTGTTGAAATGGGTGGGCTTCTTTCTTTTATGACTCATGAAGATACATGCCATATTGATATTTGGATCTTGAGTAGTTTAAATGGGGAAGATTGGATAAAGCAACATAGTATCATAGAAGGTTGCTCAATGAAAATGATTCCACTTTATTGTTCAAGAGTTAAGGGTGAAATAGTTTTCAAGGACAAAGATGGCTTTCTGTATGCTTATGATTTCGATAGTATGAAAAAGATTGACATGGAACACAGATCCCCGATCAAGAAGAGCTGTTACCCTCATGTCAACAGCCTTGTGTCGTGGTAGAATGAGGAAACTGATCTGGATGTGGATTACTAGTGCATTTCCTTGAGTATTGGTAAACACATATCTTTCATTTAGTGTTGGAACTCTTTTTCAGTTAAGTACCGATTTCTTTTTCCTTTAATAGAAGTGTTTATGGTTGGGAAAAAATAAAATAAAAGTGTTTATAGTACGAGAGTGCGTGTGTGTATACCTGTGCATTTTTAACAAGTGAACTGCTTATGATATTTTACTATTTACCATTTCTGTACTCCATTATTGTACCATCTTTGCACTTAAGCGGTGTTCACTTTGGAGTGCTTGCAAATTTGCAATGGTCTTCTTAATTCGCAAAAAAGAAGAATAAGAAGGAAGTAAGAAGATTATTCGAGCATTAACTACAAGCCCATCTTCGTTGGTCATTGTAAGGCTTAATATGCCCTGTGCATGTATGTCTGTTCAATGCATCATTTCTTATGCTGGTGAAACATTTGTATCATTTTATAGAGATCTATAAACATCAAATGTCTTTCATTTTGGCACTCAAAATTGGGGGCTCTTCTGCTGCTTAAAATTTATTATGACAAAATTTACTCAAATTTACAGTACTCTCAACATCATCAACACCAGAAAATTGACGGTAAGTTTAGTTTCATAATATGTCTAGAGATTTGATGATGGATTCATGTCGAATTGACGGTAAGTTTAGTTTCTCTCTCTTACACTGTTTTACCTATGAGATATATATTTTGTAATTCGCTAATTTCGTTATCAAAACAAGTCCTGTAATTTTTCGGTTCAAAATTTCAAAGATTGATTGGATTCGGATTTGAAGAAGTTCAAGTGTTCATGGTTTACTACACTCCGAGATGATGAGAACAATGCTTTAAGAAGGTATGCGAGTGAGTGAGAACACTTAGGGAGTTTAGAAGGCTGAAGAAAACCGAAATATTTAATTCTGCCCAGTGGAAACTGGTAGGAGAATCTTTGAACCGGTAGCAAACTTTGGTTCATAAAAGATTTGTTCACTGCCAACTTTGAACCGGTACAACAGTTGGGAACCGGTAGCCAAAGTGCGTCGGAAAGGCTTCTGACCTTCTTGAATGGGTGCCAAATTTGGGAACCGGTAGCAGAAGTCCTTCTTGAACCAGCCCGCGATCGTGGAAATTTTTTTTTTGTTTTTTTGTGCGCCAAAATGGTGCCGTTTGGAGCAAAGCTTTTTTGTTTTTTTCTCCTGCTACTATAACAATGTGCCAACAGTGGCTTACGGCAGTATTTGGCTGGAATTTTTTTTAAAAAAAAAAAAATCTAAAAATAGGTTATTTAGAGCACTTTTTTTTTGGGAAAAAAATAAAATAAAATTCATTAAATAAAAAATATATTTTTTTTCCAAAAAAAAAAATTTTTGGCCCAAAAATAAATTAAAAAACCTTTTTTTTTTTTGTTTTTTCCCTTAAATTTTTTTTATTTTGTTATTATTATTTTTTTTGCTTTAAATTTTAAATGTGTAGGCCAAATAGTGTATTTGGCCGTTAAGGCACTGTTTCTATAGTACCAAACAATGCCTTAATGGCTATAATTTTAAAAAAAAAATTTAAATTCAAATTTTACCTTTTTTTTTAATTATTTTTTTCCCTTAAAATTTGGTTTTTTTTTTTTTAATTTTTTTGCTTTAAATTTTAAATGTGTAGGCCAAATAGTGTATTTGGCCATTAAGGCACTGTTTTTATAGTACCAAACAGTGCCTTAACGGCTATAATTTAAAAAAAAAAAGTTTTAAAATTCAAATTTTTTAACTTTATTCAAAAAAACAAAAAATTAAAATAAAATACTTATTTTCTTATTCCAATCTTAAAAAACCATTACATAAAAAAAATACTAGTACACGAAATGTCATAACATCTTAATATAAAACAAAATACAACATAAATTAAGCATCTTCATCAGCATAACAGTTCCACAAATTTTCCATCAAATCATTCATCAACTGCGTATTTGTCTCTCTGTTACGAATCTGAAGTTGGCGAGAGGATATGTGTGCCGCTAAAACCGATGGGCATTGACTTAAAATGGGAATCGGGATTGTATCCTCCGGTGGCGGAGTCCATCTTCCAACATTTGCGTGACGCTCATCTTCAATGATCATATTGTGAAGGATGATGCACGTTTTCATTATAAGGCGCAAGTCATCTTTCTCCCAGTAACGCACTGGTCCTTGCGTTATTGCCCATTTGATCTGCAATACCCCAAAAGCCTGTTCCACATCTTTCCTTGCTGCTTCTTGTCACTGAGCAAATAATTTTTCTTTTGTAGTGGTTAGATGCGGGATGGTCTGCATCAAAGTTGCCCACTTAGGATATATACCATCAGACAGGTAATACCCCATTCTATAGTGATGTTCCTTCACTACATAATTAACCAGAGGTAATTGGCCATTGACGATACCGTTGAATACCGAGGAATGATCCAATATATTTATATCATTGTGTGAACCCGGCATTCCGAAGAATGCATGCCAGATCCACAAATCTTGTGAGGCAACTGCTTCCAATATGAGAGTTTTCTTGCCAGATCGTCTCCTATGTGTGCCTTGCCACTCCACTGGGCAATTCTTCCACTCCCGGTGCATACCGTCGATAGAACCAAACATACCCGGAAATCCTCTCTGCTCTCCTTCTTCAAGCAGCCGTGCTATATCGGCTTCGTTGGGTGGGTGCATATACTCCTCTACATACACAGCAACAATAGCATTACAAAATGCCTTCAAGCATTTAATGGCAGTGCTCTCGCCGATTTTAATATACTCATCATAGTGATCGGCTGTACAACCATATGCGAGTATACGAACAACAATTGTCATCTTCTGTATAGAAGACAACCCCAAACGACCAGTCGCATCCTTTTTTTTTGGACAAAGTAGTCATCATAAGCTTTGACATCATTAAGGATACGAAGAAAAAGTTCTCGTCACATCCTGAATCACCTGTGAAAGTACTCCGGTGGATATGTGCAATTGTCGTTGAAGTAGTCTTTCATTAGCTAATAGTGGCTTCCCTCTTGGTCACGATGAATATACCGCTTCTTTTTACAGACTGGAAATACTTGCTCAACTATCTCTGTCCTTACTGAATTCATAATCTCATAGAATTCGTCTTGATCTTATTGAATCAATGGCCCAAAAGGATCATCTTCCGAAGAGGACGACGAGGAAGATGAAGAATTAGAGTAAGCTAAAGGAAAAGCTTGTGATGATGAAGCCATTCGAATTTCGAAATTGAAAAAGATGGATGATGATATTTTGCTACAATGGTGAGAGATGAATATAGTGATGATTTTCAGATGAGCAAATGAGTTTCAATTTATAAGATGAAAAATATAGCCGTTACAAATATAGCCGTTGCAAATATAGCCGTTTAGGAAAAGTTAAAAATAAAAAATAAAAAAATAAATTAATTTTTTATTATTTTTTGGAGAGCGAAAATTCGGAGAGCTTGATGGAGTGCATGTTTCTGGAGAGCGAAAACTGCTGACGTGGCTCTTGGAATTGCTAATGTGGCTCTTGGAAAAACTGATGTGGTGTTTTTAGAGAGCCAAAATCTAGAAAGGCTGGTGCAGATGGCCTAATAAATCCATGGTAGACATCTGATCTATTAATTAGCTAATTATTACCAGTATGATTAATTACCCTTTTGCTCAATTATAGAATCTCAATTCAATGTCACAAATCAAAGATTTTTTTTTTTCTTACAAATTAACATAGTTTTAATCATGGACGATGACATTAGATATAGGAAGATAATTTATATCACCATGTGGCTAATTGGCTTATATCTCACATAATTTTTATGTTTAAGATATATATATATATACATATATATATATATATGTGTGTGTATGTATGTATTAAACAAGTAAACTTTTCTTAATCACAATTTTCATTTTTTTGTAATAAATTAATTATAGTTACTAATGACCTAGATTCTAGCTATAGTAATAAGATATTAGGCTATTTTTTTCTTCTTTTTTTCTCCATTTGAAGGGTCACAATCTAATATATAGCCTCATTGATCAAATAACCCTAACTGTTGGATCATGACAAGGAATCTTTTACACACTTCAAAAAGTGAGAGGAATGGTTGGAAAAAGACTACATACATTGGATGAATGTTTATACTAGATTGTGATATAAATTATTTCAATCTGTCTTCTTATATATGTGACAAGGTCGCTTGTGAACACCAAAATAATGTAGTGAATGTGCGGTTCAAGAAAAGCCTTTTAGGTCAAGTTTAAATTTATAAAAACCACTACCACCACTACTACTAACGTAGCAAGAGTGAGTAGGGATCGTCCCAAGGGATTATACGTGTTGGAATTTGACTTCAACTCTAATGTACCAAATGATTGCAAAAGAGGGTTGTTTGTTTGATTACACTAAGATGGAAAGAAATTAAAATGCAATTAAAACAAACTAGTGAGAGATAGGGATTTAAGAAATATGAAGAGAGGTCTTAGGGTGTTGGAATCACTACTAAGCTCATGTAATTAACTACTTGCTTTCCATTAATGGGGAATACATTGTTGTGAACAAAATGCGACTATCAATTGCAATATTAACCATGAACCATCAAATTCATGTACGAATTGTCTACCTAACCGACAAATAAACTAAGCGTAGAACAACCCATCAAATCTAAGCATGACCCATCAAACTAGTCACAATTGTAGCACACATCAATCTAGAGAATTATGGAATTTGCAATAATAAGCCATGAAATATCAAACGAAGTATAGATTGTCTACCTACCTACAAGCATGAATTAAATTATAGAACAACCCATCAAGCATAAGAATAATCCATCAAATTAATTGACAACCCCATTTATTGAAAACTCATGCTTAGCCACCACTAAGTCCTTAATTAATTACACATAGACATGCAACCAACATAGAGAATCTAGTGTAGAGATCAACTCCCCAAATAATCACACATAAGATAACATGTAATCAAATAGAGAATCAATAGAAAGAATTAATCCATATGAATCATGTAAGAAATAATTCCTAATTTAATCACACATAGACATGTAAATAAACTAGAGAATTAATAGAAAGAATTAAACTATAGAAATTATAGAAATATACCAAAATTCATTAAATTCACAAGGTTAGAACACTAATCACAACAATACATATAAATCCCCAAAAATAGAAATACAAAAGTTTAGACTACACAAGACTTAGGGCTCATCCAAGTCCTAAGTGTAGATCTAGCCAATCATAGAGGAGGTGGATGTGGTCATGAAACCCTCAAGAGGACGCTCCAAACATGGCTCCATATTCTTCTTCCTCTTTTTCTTCTTTTTCTTTGAATCTCTAGAGAGAGAGAGAGAGAGAGTGTGTGTGGATCTAGAGATGGGTTCTTGAGATGTGCCTCTACTTCCCTCTTTTCTTCTAACCCTAATCTCTAACTTTTCTAGAGAGAGAAATTAAAATTACAATGTAAAAGTAAAATAATAAAAAGCTCATTTACAAAATGGGTCACTTCCCTTTATATATAAGGTCCTTTTCTTAGTCATTAAGTCAGAAATATAGCCCCAAAAATATCTAATCCCGCAACTATGTGGTAGGTAGAAATCCGGCGCGCGAGAATAAGACAGCTCGTTGCCAACACATTTTCGATCGATCAGACTTTTGATTGTTCTGGGTGAGATCGATCCAACTTTTGATTGTTCTGGGTGAGATCGATCCAACTTTTGATCGTTCTGGGTGAGATCGATCCAACTTTTGATCATTCTGGGTGATATCTATCCAACTTGGCAGTTTTTCAGCATTAGCCTCCTTTTGCTCCAGATTCTCACCAACACTTATTTTGACTCCAAAAAGGCATTTAGTAACCATTTTTAGCTTGTTTTTACATTATTGACCTGAAATAGACAACAACACAAATAAGTACTAAAACGGGTAAATAAAGATAGATAAATGGACTAAAATACCCTCGCTTAGGGGGTTTAAATGCGCACTTTTCAGCGCTCATCACACCCCTAAACTTAAATATTGCTAGTCCCTAGCAATGAACTACGAAATAAAGGAATGAAATGAACAACTAAACAATTATAACTAGAAAACAATAAATGGATAACGCCACTTTCGTAGGGAACACGATTGCATTTAGCATATACAACAAGCCTTTTAAACCCCTAGGTTACCCCTAGTAGATGAGTGAAGTCTCGTGAGGGTTTTCAAAAATGATACCCACAAACATTAAGCTCATTCTCACTAAAGAGATACCAATATTGTAAACAAGTATTGAAAGAAAACTACCTCAAGTATGCAATTTTTCAACCATTTCCAAGCAATCTACCAAAATTTCAATATCAAGCAAGCAAGTATGGTCCTCCACACATAGAGAAAATGATCATGAAAATAAAAACAACTCTAGAATCTTTTTTGAGTGCACCGGCATCAAATATGTTGCTATCTTAGCCAACTAAAGAAATGATCATATCCTGCTATCTTAGCCAACTAAAGAAATGATCATATCCTTACCCTCAAACTAGCACACAAATCTAGTACCGATCATCAAGATAAAAAGTGGACCTTTTATTAAAGCTTTATTGTTTTAGGTGCGCTTATTCTTTTTACTCGATTTATTTATTTTTTTTAATTTTTTTTTTTTTTAGGATCAAAGATGGAAGCATGATGCAATGTGTTGATCTATTAAGCTTTCTAGCGATCCATGAGGTTGAGCGTTAGGTCAATGACTCCCAAACCAGACGGCTTTAGGGCACAAGGTGTTCAAACACCCCTACGGACTTACAAGCTCAAATCAACTAGGCTATAAATCAAAACAATCTCCATCTAATCATTTCCCACTTCTCACCTTTTGGGAGAAGTCCTCACTTTTTTTTTTTTTTTTTTAACATTCAATTATTAACCTAGAGTTTGGGCCCTCCACCTTTCGACACGAGAAATTCAATGCTTAATGAGGCTAGAATCCTGGCAACTCAATGAAAAGGGTTTATTATCCACCTTTATCAAGAATGAAAGCTTCCAATGCACTATTAACCCAATTGGGATACAACCAATTCAATAATCAACAAAGCATGTACCCCACAAATGAATGCTAGTGTGCGCCTGTGCTAGTGTAGAATCCTAGAGTGAATCTCAAAACAATCACAAAATCAGGATGATGTGGACCACAAATGCAAGCAAGATATCAATCTTTCAAAAAATTTACTCCTAAATGGCATCCACAAGGCATACAAGGAGTATTAGACTCTCAAGTCAAGTAATTTTTAAATTTTAAGCAATATAGTCCTCAAAAGATCAAAATCATCGCTAACAAGGATCAACGATCTTAATCATGCATTTAAAGTTCAACTTTAAGTAGAATACAACATAACACCTTACCCCCAAACTTAAACCGCACATTGTCCTCAATGTGCAATGAGAACAATGGAATAAATGGAAAGAGTATACCGTGGTGGCGAAAGCATGAAGTCCGGCAATGATCCAATATGAAAAGGGTCTCCCCCGAACTTGGAATCAATAACCTATTTGAATAACCACAGTAACAAACTCACATCAAATATCAAATGGGATAAGAATAATCAAATCATGCATTCTAAGGCAATATAGCACAAAGTGAAATAGAGATATGAGATCAAGCCCTAACTAAAGCATAAAGTATGTGTCGTGACCCGGGTTTTTATACAACCCGGTGCATCAGTGATGAACCGAGAATTGACCCGGTAACAGATCCATATGCGGAAGCAAGAAACAAAACAATGGTCTCCCAAGGCATAACACACCTCTAAGAGCCTAAGATGACCTTCCATGAGGTCAAGAAACTCAAAA